ACCTTGTTGCAGCCTTCCTGTCAATGGGACCCCCTGGATGGGGGTCTTTCTCTTTTTTGCTGACCCTCTACTTTACTAAGCACGATGCCTCCCATGGACTGGTCCCTCTCAATCACATGTTCAAAGCACGCAAGACAAAGCCATCACCTTGCTTCTATGACGCACTCTGGTCTCACTTCTAAGATAGACCTGTTGGTTCTTCTGGCAGTCCATGGTATATTTAATTGTTTTCAGCATCGCCATCATCCAAATGCAGCAGTTCCTCTTAGTGTCCCTTACTCATTTGCCGGTTTACTCGGGCACAGGAGGTGATCGAAAACACCACGACTTGGGATAGGTGCATCTTAGTCCTCAAAGCGCTGTCGTTGCCTTTCTACACCCCGAAGAGGTCTTTGGCAGCAGATGTGCCCAATGTAACATATCGCGGGATAGCTTGACTGCTGCTTCCAGGAATTTTGATACACCTTCCATATCTTCCTCCTTTCTCTTCTTCGCTCCCTGATGCTCCAGGTGGGCTTGCAGGCTTTTATGACCCCAGTCATTATGCAATGAAGTAGGAGATAGACCAGCAGACAGATGAATAGGCTACAGTAACTGGGATGTCCCATGACATCATGGCCCTGAACCCCAACCAGGGCGCCCAATCTTGTGTGAGGTGGCACAAAAGCAGTGGCAGCAGCTTCTGTGGTCACTGCTGTAAGTGTAGCTACCATATAGCGCTTGCCAATTCAACGTTTACACGTGTGTAAGTTGTTGAAAGTAATTCCATAATGGACTATGCAGCCTACTCCTTAATCACTAAGATTTGTAAAATCACCAGTAGCCTCTTCTTTCTCCCTCCCTCTCACCAACCACTAAACAACTTCGGTCTCTAGAAATTTGCCTTTTCTTGTCTTTTTGATATTCGTGAGGTCATATAATAGTTGTCTTTTTGTTTAACTTATTCGCACAGTATCCATACTGAAGCACGAGTCAAGACTTGATTTCTCCTGCTGACGGAGTAGTTAGTATTCCACTGCATGTATGCACCACATTTTGTTCATCTTTTTTTTTTCTGTTGATGGGCATTTAGGTTGTTTACACCTTTGGGCGATGGTAAATAGTGTTGCAATGACTTAGAATCTCTTAATATTTTATAATAATGCTTATCACTACCATTTGGAAACAGAAATGGGAGGTGGGAATCTCCGATAATTTTATTACCTCCATACCACCACGGTTGTTTTGTGTAGTTTATTCCCAATGGCTGCAGCAATGGGTTCAAACACAAGAGCAGTGCTGAGGACGGCACAGGACCGGCCTTCTGTTTCCTTCTGTTTACAGGGTCGGAGTGAGTCGGGACCGATTCAACGGCATCTAACAATAACAGTTGTTTATATAGTTGCGGTTATTATAAACAAAGTGAGACTCAGCTTTTTCATCCATCATTCAGTATAGATTTCCCTATGATACTGCACAATCATATTCATAACCACTCCTCTTTTAACTACGTGGTTAATATTTTCTCACGATGAATGAATGTATCATCATTTCTCTGGGCATTTACTATTCTTTGACTTTAATATGTCTCCTATTGTAAAGAACACTAAGGTGAGTAGTTTCATGCATCTTTATATTCTGATGCTAACTAGACAGGACTGTATATATTAAATTAATCCACTATATTGGCTAGCACAAAAATTGAGTTTCAGTCTACACCTCGAGCATTTTAAGGGAAAGGACATTTTGAAAACGGTTTTGTAGTCTTTGAAGAGCAGAGTCATTGGTGAAGTGAGCTACTCAGCTGTAAACACAGAAACGCAGCTGTGGGGTGGCAGTAGATGAAAAGCAGAACTGGCGCATGGGCTTCAGGTGGTTGGGCAACGAGGTAAGAGATATATTATCTTTTCTTTTATTCTACATTTTAAAAAAACTTTACAATGAGCGCATATTCCTTTTATAACATGAATGTTATTTTTAAAGACAATGAAAGCAGTGTAGACACAGGGAGTATCCAAATAGACTCCATTTTAGGGGAGAGGAATATCAAACGTAGAGCCCTTTCTGTGCTAGTAGCTGCAGTCAACACAAGGGACATTTGGACATGTTGCTGTATGAGTCTATTTATCTAAGATGCTGGAAAATACAAGTGGAACTGCAGTTAAAAGTTGTTCGTGAAATATTTTACATTCTTTTTCCCCATTGGTCATCTGGGGGAAGGAGGGGCCAGGAAGGAAGGATGAGCGGGAGAGACGCCAATGGGGCTCCAGGAGACGCCGGGGGTCTGGACATGTTAGTTGTCTGGACTGTAGTGATGGTTCGATATTGTCTGTAATCAAACTCACTGTCCTTGAGCTGACGCCAAGCCCGAGGGACCCTATAGGACAGGGTAGAACTGCTCCTGTGGGGTTCTGTGACTGTAATTTTGTACGGGAGTAGAAAGCCCCATCTTTCTCTCAGAGCAGCTGGAGGCTTGGAACTGCCAACCTTGCTGATAGCAGCCTAATGCGTATATATATGTATCAAAACGTTAACCTGTATGCTTTAAATAAGTACAACTTATTGCATGTCGGGTCAGTTTAACCCTAATAAGACTGTTGAACAGTAAAGACAATTAATTTTAATGGGTAATACATGCATGTGCTTTAAAAATCAAAAGGTCAATGGAAAAAAAGAGTGTAAAAAAGTTCATTAACAGTTTTTATCGTTTACATCTCAACTGATAAGATGTTGGGTAACATAAAGTCTATTATTTAAAAATCAAAAGGGCAAAACGTTATGAAAAGCCAGTCTCTCTCCTTCTCTCCCCAGTGTGTTCACAAAGGTCACTAGTGTTTTGTGTATTATTCTGACCTGCTCTATACATGAAGCATATATGTAGATCAATCTTAAGAAATGCAAATACATAACAATGGTACATACTGTGATATGCACACCGCCCCTTGCCTCTTTAACTTGATAATGTACCAGGGAGAGGAATCGCGGGGTGTGCTCATGACAAACCTGCTCGGCTGTTAGCCTGAAGGCTGGAGGTTTGAGTCCGGGCAGAGGGGCCTCAGAAGACAGGCCTGGCAGTCTGCTTCTGCAGAAGCAGCCGCTGGGAAACGTGGGGAGCACAGTTCTGCTCTGGCACACCAGGAAGCGGAATCGACTAGATGCCAACGGGTTACATCTGTCCGATGATTCCGTCTCAGCACACAAAGAATTGCCTTATTCTTCTTAATAGCCGCATAGCACTGTAGGCCTGCAGGTTTATTTAATTATGTTGTTTACTCGACTTTGTGGTGGAAGGACGTTTACATTTACAGTCTGTTGTTTTTATGAACACTGCTGCAGTGATTGTAAAAAGCACTGGTAGAAAAAAGAAGTACTGGTTTCTCTCTGTCTCCTTCAGTTCTTTTTATGTTCCGCTTGGTAGGAGCAGCCACGGACCGGGCTTTGGAAGCACTTTCTCTGCTGTCAAGACCTCCAGACGCGCTCTTTGTTGCTGAGTGCTTATTCAGAGCACCTGTTAGAATAAAGCGCTCGCGTGAGGCATGGAGATGAGCTCACCGGTCTTGCCCACTGAAGGAAGGAATTTACTTTGTGCTAACAATCACCCGTAGACCCTTCTAACACTAGGTTTAGAGTATTTTCCATACAAAAATAAAAAATGACAACAGATTTAAACTCAAAACGAACTACCAGAGAGCCCATTTTAATGCATGGAGACCCCACAGGGCCCCTGTGGGTTTCTGAGACAGTGACTCTTTCAGAGCCTCATCTTTTTCCTCGGTGACAGACCAGGATGTTAAAATCGCCTTCTCTGTGACTCTGTGCTCTTGTGAACCCTCGGACTGATTTGAGTGTCTATAGAACACGCCTACTGTCGCCAAGGTGACTCCAACTCCTGGGACCCTAGGCGACAGAGTCCAACGGTCTCCAGGGCTGTGATGTTTAGAGAAACAGACTGCCATATGGTTTTCCTGCCGAGCGGCCGGTGGGCTTGAACCACTAACCTTGCCTTTCCCCGCCCAACACTTAATCCTCTGCACCACCAAGACTCCTCTAAGATGATTTTTTTAGTGCCTTTTCATTCCTAAGAATGCCTCATGGACCTCAAACATCAGGACTAAGACTATGCACATGTCTCTGCGGCTTCCCACTCGATTTCTTAGACCCTTTCTGAACAGGATTCCACTCATCTCTACTCAAAGGCGGGGGGGGGGGGGGGGGGGGCGCTCACGCGTTCAATCTGGGGTGAATCCCAGGCCCTCTAGTGAGCACTTGTCTTCCTGTGTAAAAGGAGGGTCACTCACTCACCGCCATCACGTTGGTCCCGGCTCCTAGCGACCCTGTAGGGCTGGGTGAAGGGTCCTCTGCAAGCTTGGGCGACTGTAACCCTTTATGGGGGGAGAAGGCCCGGCCTGGCGCCGGTGGAGACTGCTGTCCTTGTGGTTAGCCCGATGCGCAGGGGCTCGGCCACCAGGGCAAGAGAGTAAGAGTCCCCAAACAGTAATAGCGAATGCCATCAAGTGTTTGCCGCGGCCTTGGCACAGGGGCGGCTCCTGATGTCTTTCCTCGTTTAATTTTTTGGCCAGTGGCCCGCCGCAGAGCCGCTGATGGCAAAAGCAGCCGATCCCCAACCCTGTCCCCTGCTTGACAGAAGGGTTGTGGGGAGGCTGCACAACGTGGGTGCCAACTGCTGCGGCTGTTTATCCTTGTTGTGCAAGAGCAGCGCTGCCCCCCGGGCTTTCTCTAGGGTGCCCCCGGGGTGCGCCACACCACTCGCTTTGAGGTAAGCCAGCAAACGCAGACGGCTTGCACCATTTAGGGACTTGTGCATAGATCATGTGCACGAGAGGCTGGCAAACGGTGGTGGCTGCTGCGACTCGAAGGGGGCCAAAGCCTGTCTGTCCCCGGCCCTCTCCCCCGTGGGGAGTGGACAGAGTTCAGGCGTCTCTGGGGGGGGGGGCGGGGGCAGAGGGGGCAGCCGCTGGGTGCCATTAACCCCTAACCCCCGGCCTTTCTTGTTTGGGCAGGCTATCCTGTGCGGAGAGCCCGCTACCAGTGGGTCCGCTGTAACCCCGACGGCAATTCTGCCAACTGCATCGACGAAAGGGGACCGGAGTTCAACCTGCTTCCAGAGGAATCCAACAGGATTCTCCCAGGGAGGACCGACCCTTTCTCGTAAGTGGACTGTGGGGTGGGCAAGTCATCATCACGTCCCCCCACCCTCTGTCTGCTGCAGTTCCCGCATGGAGCCGGGAGGGCTGAGGAGGGTGCTGGTTTGCACGTTCAAACCGCAGTCCTCACCGGGCTGCTTCTCGAAGACCCCAGCCTGGAGCTGCACCCTCGGCAATGCTGCTTTCCCTCTGGTCTCCGGCCCCATGGTCCCTGCATCCTGACTGAGCCCAGGTCTGCGGCCAGCAGATCCACACCTTGTCGTCCTCGAGCCTGACTGTGTGTTAAGGGAGACTGACCTTGGGGACTGTATTCATCAGGTGCTGGGTCGGTGGCTGACTTGAGCTGGGTGGGTGGGTGGGTGGGGGGGCTGGGGCACAAAGGGAGATGGCAGAGCATGAAAGAGGAGAGACCAGGGTGTCCCCCACTCTGCCCATGTGGTCAGACCCTCCCAGAAGCCACCAGCCTTGGGCTCAGGCAACCACCTCCCTTCCATCCTTTCCCCAACCCAGGGAAGAAAGGGTCTTCTTGCGGTTGCTAATCTTTGGGTGACCTCACCACGCCCCCCCTTTGTCTTCACATCCCTTCTAGCACAAGTATAAGCAGTTCCTGCTGAGTCAGATATAAAAAAAAGGTGTCCTCGTTAGACCTGAAAGTTGCTGCTTCTAAAGCCACCTCTCCTTCTGGCTGGGGACCGCCCCCTCCCTGGCTGCAGCCCTGCAGCCCTGCACTTACCCCTCTGAGTGACTCAGCGCCCCTATGGCATCATCACACTCACCTGCGTAAAAAGCCCTTCTTTGACTCTGCCTCCTCCCCATTCTCTGCCCCTGTTCACAAGAACCCTTCTTAAAAGGCTGTCTCTACCATCTTCTCCTCAGCCCCCTGAGATAGGACTTCTGTTACTCCAGGTTGACAGATTTCTGATGACTTCTCTATTTGCTTAAGTCCCTTCAGTAAACACACACACACACACACACACACACACACACACACAATCATCGAGTTGATTCCAATTCATAACAGAAGCCACCACCTCCTTTGAAACATTTTCTTCTCTGAACTTCCATGGCCCTCCCTCCTCCTGGGTTCCCATGCTCTTCCCTGACTGTTCTTCTCCCTGTCCTCAACCTTTAACCTGTTGGCATGACTTGCCTCTGTTCTGGGCCCTCTTCTCTTAGTGACCCCCATCCCATTCTGTGACATTTGATCCCAGTCAGTAACGTGTAACTCCACACTCCAACACTGATCCCTTCTGCCTGGTTACCTTCCATCATGTGGCTGTGGGTAGGTGCCGTCAGGTGGGTTCTGACGCATAGGGGCCCTGCGTGCGACAGAACAGAGCACCACCCGGCCCTGCGCCATCCCCATCGTGGTCTGTCTGAGCCCCGGGGGCAGCCACAGCCGCAGTGTCAATCCATCTCGTTGGAGGGTCTTCCCTTCTGCAATGCCTCCCCACTTGACCAAGCATGGTGGTCTTCTCCGGGGACTGACCTTGCCTGACAACACGGCCGGGAGGAGAGACAAGATCTTGCTCTCCTTGCTTCTAAGAAGTACTCAGGTCTATTTCCTCCAAGACAGATGCTTGTTCTTTTGATCGTTCACAGTACTTTCAATATTCTTCGCTAGTGCTGTAATTCAAATCCATCAATTCTTCGGTCCTTGCCTAGGACATTTGTCAATTTTATCTCTCTGTGTAGTACTTAGCACAGCTTAACATTTTCTTGGTTTACTTTTCTTTTTACTGTCTCTCTTTTCCACTGGCTTATAAACTTCTTGGGGAAGAGAAAAAGGAGACTTATTTTTCCATCCTTGTTCTTTTCCTGGTCCTCAGAAGAGGGGCGATATGCTCAATTAACATTTACCGGTTGCTAGCATGCTGCATGACCTATTGTGTTAGACAGGGTTCTCTAGAGAAACAAAACCTGAATGCTAATAATTTTATATATATTTATACAGATAAATAGATATATAACATAAGAAATAAACAGTTAAATTATAAAGCAGTACAAATGGCTCAGTGAAACTCACTCGTGTGAGACAGTTGTGAGACACTGGCAGTCCTTCAAGTCTTGAGGGTCGCCGGGTAGTCCTCTGTAGAGCAATTCAGGTTATCCAGGCACAGGCAGCAAGCAGCAAGGCAGGTCACCAACAGTCAGCCAGATGACAGGGTCCGACAGTCCCCAGCTCGAGAGATGTAAATTCCAATGGTGTGGCAAAGCAGGTCTTGAAGGAACCTCAAATTACAGCGACACAGTCCACGCGTTAGGTGTCCCACAGGTAGTGTAGCTTGCAAATTGAGGCAAAGAACAAGCAGAGTAGCCGCACACTGGTCCGATGATCAAAGAGACAAGAAAGGCGAGGCTCGCTGAGCCATTTATCTCTCTGCCCTTCATTAATCCCACATGTGTTTATCGGCCAGGTTGGCACAATAAACTAACTACCTCACCTATGGTTTTCATTGAGAACATTACCCAGAGTGCGTGAAACTTGCCTGTTGGCTCTGATGCTTTGTTGCCTCGTTCTGCCATTTAGGGTGGCACCATTGCTCTTAGGGGTGTCATTTGGTTCTCAGGGGACTCTAACCACCATGCCGAGGGGACTCTTACCTAGCACCCTAACCCAGACCCAGAAGCTTTCCCTTTTCCCATGAAAAGCAGGATACTTCTTGGATATGTGTCTTTGGGGGGAGAGACAACGTTGTGTGCTGGCAAATACTACTCTTCACTGCTCTCAGGAATTTCTCAGGAGAGAACTTTGCTGAAGCACTGTAAATTATTAGAACTTTCTTTTCTTTTTTGAAACTGTAAATGAAGAGACAATGTCATCTGTTTGGGCTAACATAGATATTTGTCTTTCCCTCAGAGGAAGAATGGACAGAGGACCTTTGTTTTCAAGAACTGGTCCCTTAAGTAACTCCCAAAGATGGCAAAGGGTTCAGCGCTAGACTCCTAGCTCAGAGTGTGGTTCGAACCCACTCAAAGGGGCCCAGAAGGGAAGGCTGGCACTCCGCTTCCCACAGGTCACAAAGCAGTTCTGCTGTGCACATGCGGGGTTGCCGTGGGCCAGAGTTAGGTAAGCTAAGGAAGTGCAAACCCACAGAAAACCTGATTTGATAGACGCACGTTTTGTTTGAAACTGGAAAATGTGTGTCCTTTTTCATTGCATTTGCCCCTTATCTTGAAATATCCTGTTATGGCGCTTTTCCTTTGGCCTCCAACCTGACTGCGTGCTTCCTTTCTTTTCATGTCCCCCTTCAGCAAGTTGAGGTTCCAGAACTTGCGTGACATCGCCCCTCTTTCCGAGGACTTTTCGGGATCAGGCTCTGGCTCGGGATCAGGCTCTGGCAGTGGCTTCCTTGCAGACATCGACCAAGAATACCAGCCAATCGAGGAAAACGACACATTCTTTTCCAACTTCCGCCCTCTGGAGAGAAATCTGCTCTCCCAGGAACAGGACTTGGACCAAGATTTAGCAGAAGCGGATTTTCTTATATAAAAGAGAGGTCTGTCCAGCTGACATCAGGCAATGTGTTCTGTAACTTCTGTTACCACGGTTCAACGATTACTCTTGGGATAAAAAGGTTCTGTGCGAATTTTAAACATTTGAAAAAGCAGAAATGTCCATCACTGTTTCCTCACAGATTTTAGAAAGTATATGCGCTTACATACTTTGTTGCTATTATGTATCCTATTGTACTGGAAAATGCCTGTATTTCTTTCCTAACATATTCAGCCAATCTACCTGTGAAGTTCACATAGCTTCCCTGTCCATAAAGTTGCTTTAAAGAATAAATTACACTTTACAACAATTCAAGTTCAGAACCAAGTTGACAGGCCTTATCTTTTTACCATCAGGAAGCTGATTCTGTCAAGGACAGGTATGTCTCTTTTCTTAGGGAAAAAACAACAATCAAGATGCAACACACGGTGTGGGTTATTTGTGTTTGACAGTGTGAAGGGAATTATTATAACGTTACCAGTGGATGTGCTCACAGAGTAGTAGGCATTGTCAATTTACAAGTAGGATTGCCATTACAGTTAGAAAATTGAGACCTAATAAAACACAATATGCTCTCAATAGCTCACTCTACTTTACTTACCCCCAGCATCCACCCTGCACCACCACCACCCTCCTGAATATCTGTGGTTTTTTGTTTGTTTTTTTTTTACTGTTAATGCCATTAAAGCAGAAGTATAACCAAAGAGTTAAATTGTCTGGCATCTCTGTTCTAAACTCAGGGAATAACCACATTTTGGCTCAGACGTTTCAGAAATCTTCTCAACAAAATATATTTAAAATTATTTTACAATGAGTGCAATTGTTTCTAACCAGAATGAAATCCTACTTACGGTCCTACAATGAAAGCAATCATGCCTTCGTAAGAAGGTTGTACTTGTCAAAGGCTTTCTTCTTTAAAAAAAAATCATTTTATTGGGGGGCTCGCACAACTCTTATCACAATCCACCCATCCATTGTGTCCAGCACATTTGTACATTTGTTGCCAGCATCATTCTCAAAACATTTTATTTCTACTTGAGCCCTTGGTATCAGCTCCTCATTTTCCCCCTCCCTCCTGCTCCCCCCTCCCTCCTGAACCCTTGATAATTTATAAATTATGATTATTTTGTCATGTCTTACACTGTTCGACGTCTCCCTTCATCCTTGTGGTCATTCCCCTTTCTCCCCCACCTTCCTCTTCCCCTCCTGGTATCACTATGCTCATGATCGGTCCTGGATTCCCTGTGCTTCCAGCTCTTATCTGTATCAATGTACATCCTCTGGTCTAGCCGGATCTGTAAGGTAGAACTGGGCTCATGATAGTGGGGGGGAGAGGAGGAAGCATTTAAGAACTAGAGGAAAGTTGTATGTTTCATTGGTGTTATACTGCACCCTGACTGGCTCATCTCCTCCCTGCGACCCTTCCATAAGGGGATGTCCAGTTGCCTACAGGTAGGCTTTGGGTCTCACTCCGCACACCCCCTCATTCACAATGATATGATTTTTTGTTCTTTGATGCCTGATACCTGATCCCATCGGCACCTCGTGATCACACAGGCAGGTGTGCTTCTTCCACACGGGCTTTTCTTACCTAAGGATAGTCAAGCTGTTAGTTCTGAAAGTCTGATGGCCTCATTGACATGGATTCCACTTGCCTTGTCCAGATCCATTCTTCAAAACTGAGGACATGTTTAAATTAGTCTGCTGAAGAAAGGCACCCCATCCAAATTCATGACCCTTCTTAGGGAAGCCTGCATCCAATGACTGCTTGATATGAGAACATGGAAACCTGGCTCCTCTCTCGATTCAGAGCCCTCAGAAGGGCCAACACAGACTCAGAGCTCCGGGGGTGGGGCTGGGGGGAGGGCTCATCTGAGGTTTTGTTGGAACTGTTTTGCAGCTTAAGGCCTTCTTTTACTCAGGCTTCTTTCCCTTGCTCTCCTAAGTATCCATCCTAAAAGCACTCCCTTAGAAAGTTTCTGTACACTATTCTCTGTTTCAGAGTTTGGTTTATGGTGAATTCAACCTCTGGCAGTTGGTCCCAGGATGGGTAGAAAGGAGATGCTAAAGTGGGATTTTGGAGTCCGATCACCTGCTGCCTGGCTGGCAATGATGACCTCATCCTTGGCTATAGATAGAATATGGGCACAAAATAGCACTACAACTGTTCATCTTCCACTAGTGATGAACTGGGATAGAACGCCAGTGGGAGGAACTGTGCACTATGGTGCAATATGCCAAGCATTTGAGAAAGATAGGAAACAGCTACTCTAAAGACAATAGAATTGAATGTATGTTGTTGGAGGTAATTAAGGATTCTAAAAGAAACAAGTGATAGGATGGATGTTAAGAAGCCCTCTTCTATAGTGGAAGGAGCCCTGGTGGCATAGAGGTTACTTCTGGGCTGCTAACTACAAGGTTGTACAATACCACCAGCTGCTCTGCAGGAGAAAGACAAGGCTTTCCGCCCCTGCAAAGAGTTTCAGTCTTGGAAACTCACAGGGGTAGTTCTACCCTGTCCCTTAATAAGGATGTGAGGAGTCAGCATTGACTCAATGGCAGTGAGATTGGTTTTGAGTTTCTGTAATCAAAGGGCAGAGAAAGTTCAGCACCGGGACTACTCATAAGAAAAGCAGAGTTCCAAGAATGTTAAACTGTCAGTTTAGGCAAATCAGCTATGCAAGGCCAAGGAAAGGCCAAGGATTAGGAAATAATGGAACCCAAAGATGGGGACTACTGGATTGATTTCATTCAAATCTTGACTCTATAGAAGAGACCCATTCCTCAACAATCAATGCTTTCCTCTTCCTTGAAGACTTCTGTCCTTCAAGAGAACATGTACCTGCAAGTGGGGAGGCCTTTACATTTTATTTTCTCACAGTTCAGGAAGGTAGAAGTTCCAATTCAGGGGGAGGACCTTCCTTGTTTTTTGTTTTTTTTCAGTTTTTAGTACCTGCCAGCAGTCTTGGTATTCTTAACCTTGTAGATGCATCTGTCCCAGTCATCTGTCTTCTTCTTCCCTTTCTACATGTCTCTGTCAACTCATAGAAGTTGTGTTAGTCTGGGTTGACCAGAGAAACAGACCCAGTGACACTCATAGGTGTGTAAGAGAGAACTTTATATCAAAAAGCAATTGTATATTGAGAAAACATCCCAGCCTAGTCCAGGTCAAGTCCATAAGCCCAATATTAGCCCATCTGTTTGATAATAGTCTGTAAATTCCTCTTCAGACTCACGCAGCACATGCAATAATGCTGAATGCAGGAAGATCACAGGTTGGTGGGTGAAAAGTCTTATGCATCCAGTGGCGGTGAAAGAATCTCAGCACTGGCAGCAGTCTCCCTTTAACATTCAGTCATAGAGAAGAGAGTTCCTTTATGGCTCCAGATTTTTCCAGCTTCAGGCACAAACTGCTAGTTCAAAATTCAAAAAGCAAAGGTTTCCATTTTTTCTTCCCTCTGTCAACAGCTTCTTAGGCAAGTCTCTTCAAATTCAAATGTCATGAGCACTGGGTGGGGTTTATCTTTTCAGAGCCAGCTTTGCAGGCAGCCCTATACTCATTTAAAGATCCACTTTAATGTTTAAAGGCAAGTAGGCTTACAAACTTTCTATTGTTTTGCTTCCCAATAATAATTTCTATCACATATTATATCAATAACAACAGGCCGAAGAAATCAGTATAAACCTTGTACAGCCAGATCCTAAACTCAATTATTAAAACAGTCCAGTTCAATCCTTATCTATCTAATCATAATACTTATCTACACTGTTCCATTGATAAGGAATATGTCATTAGGCCTCTGACTGCATCAAGCCAGAGTGGGGTCTTCTGTCAGCCATTTTTACCTTCTGTCAGTCATTTTGTCTAAGCAGTATGGTCTCAGAAGAAAAGTGCAAGGGGCGATTTAACCCTCTTAGCTCAAAATTTACATTTATCACATTCATTTCCACCATTTGAGACAGGAATAACCAAAAACAACTTCTAGGAATCAAAATCTTCAGTTTCCATGTTTTTTTTTCAGAAAACAATTGAGTAAACAGTGTGGCCCTATCTGATCTCTGGCTAACCAAAGAAGAAAAACTGCCATGAGGCAGATGTCAAACAAGCATTCCTCCTCCATTTTCATGACTTATTTCTCTAGTACCCCACTCCCTGGTACCATAATGGGTGAGACTGGGTTGATTAGAGAAACAAATCCAGAGACACTCATATGTGTGTAAGAGAGAGCTTCATATCCAAGAGCAGTTGTATATTGAGAAAACATCCCAACCCAGTCCAGATCAAGTCCTTAAGTCTGATACTAGCCCATAAGTCTGCTACTAGTCCATAAATTCCTCTTCAAACTCTTGCAGCACATGCAATGGTGCAGAATGCAGGAAGATCGCGGGCCAGTGGGTGAAAAGTCTTCTAGATCCAATGCCAGCGGAAGCATCTCAGTGCTGTGCAGGTCTCCACTGCATGGTTAGCCTAGGTCTCCATGTGACTCCACATGACTTAGCAATAGGAAGGTGAAGCAGAGAGAGTGTGTGGCCCACAACCAGAGAGGAAGAGAGGAAGTTCCCAGACTCCTCGTGAGAAGGCCCCGCCCACAAGGCTGTGACCTGATTGACAGGCTAGACTCCACCCCTACACTTATTTATCAAGTTGACATGTAATTATGTAACTACCACAGAAGCGATTAGGTTTAGGATCCACCCAATTCTTGCATGGCCTTATTTAACATGGCAAAAACAAAATTAAAAACTCTCTATTTCATACAGGGTCCTAGTTACAGTTACAGAGTTCGGATTTCAAACACAGATGGTTGGGGTCAGCAATATGGCTTGCTCTCTTGGGATACAGGTTTTACCATCCTGATGAGAGTCTCCAGAGGCGTTGACATACTGCCTGCATGTCTTTAGGAAGCTTGAAGAAAGCAACAGCTCAGTCTTAAGTAGAATGCCAGAAATTCTGCGGAAGGCACTGGGAGAAGGACCCAAACGGTTAAAGGAGGTAGGCATGCTAATGCTAGAGGGAATAAACTATGTCAACCTGGAAACTCATTGGTGACTGTGTTCTGCAGAAAGCCAAAGCAATAAAGATTGTGCTAGTGGGAGGGTCCAGCATCACGGAGCTGTCAGCGGGGGTTCTCCTGAAGAATAAGGTAGGTGGCTTCATAATATAGAATCCAAGTCCTAGTAAACACCACATCACATAGATGTTACCAACATGACAGAATGATGGATAGATCTGTTGAAGGCACAGCTGAGACACCAGCTTGATAGGATACACTGAGGTTAGGGCGCCAATTCTAAGTAGCAGTACATATGCAAAAGCAATAACCACTATATAGTCCTGTGTTCTTAATAGAAGGAACTTTGAGATGCCATAGGTTAGGCACTGGGCTGCTAACCACTAGGTTGGTGGTTCAAACCCATTGATCACTCCTCAGGGGAAATATGAGGCTTTCCACTCCTGTGAATATCTTTTTAAAAACTTTCCATTGTGATTTAGGTGAAGGTTTACAGAGCAGTTAATCAGTTTTAATTCAACAAATCATATACATTTTATTCATTGAAACCTCCTCCTACTTCCTTTCTGTGTTTCCTATTTGCGTTCCTTTCCTAACCTTTGAATTTTGTCCTTGGAGAAATGCTGCCCTTTGGATCTTGTAGTGTTGATTATTCTATCACATGGATGAGTTCACTTTGCTCTTGTAAGGATGC